CTCTCTCTCTCTCTCTCTCTCTCTCTCTCTCTCTCTCTCTCTCTCTCTCTCTCTCTCTCTCTCTCTCTCTCTCTCTCTCTCTCTCTCTTTGTGCGTGCGCCGAAGTCCCGTCCAAGAGCGCCCGGCCGCCGTTTAGTCGTTCGGCGCGTACGGACGGAGACGCCCGTACGTACGGGGCGTCTGTATGGAGGACGGTCGTACGTACGCGGCGTGCGCTTATGCGCCGTCTGGTGCCGTCTTGCCGCCGCGTCGTCGTCGTCGTCGTCCTCTCCCTCTCTCCCTTTCTGTCATCGTCATCTCTCTCTCTCCCCCCCTCCCTCTCTCTCTCTCGTCGCCGTTTCTCTCTCTCTCTCTCTCTCTCTCTCTCTCTCTCTCTCTCTCTCTCTCTCTCTCTCTCTCTCTCTCTCTCTCTCTCTCTCTCTGTGTGTTGCCGTCAACAACCTCCACGAGCACTGTTGCGTAGGCGACAACAGAAATGTGGGCGACAACACAAACTGTGGGTGTTGACTTCCACAATCTCACTTATATGCAGACGTCCTTGGCCTCCTTCCCCCAAGGGCCCAAGGCCTGCCGAGTCCACCTCAAGTCCCTTTTTTTTTTTTGGTGAAAAATGAGAGAAAAAAAAAGGATTGCCCAGTGCCCGCGTCCCCGCAGGGCTCAGCCTGGCAGCCAGTACCGCGGCCCAGGGCAGTTTCGGAGGGCAGGCCCTTCTGCCCTGGCCCGCGCCACTAGCTGCCAGGCTGAGCCCCGCGGGGACGCGGGCAGTCCTTTTTTTTTTCTAATTTTTTACCAAAAAAAAATTTTTTCTCAATTTTTTCAACAACACAGCAGTGCCCCCATTGACCTGTCCCAACACCCCATGCCCTTCAACCCCCCCCAGCACCCCCCCAGAGACCCCTAGCACGTTCGGACGGGAAGCGTCCGTACGCCCGTACAGGCGTCTGTACGTCTGTCCGTACGGCCCGTACGGGCACCCCCCGTACGACGTACGGGGGACGACACAGGTGGGCAGGCTCTTTCCTAAATGGAAATGGCCTGCCTGCCTTGCGTGCAGCCTGGCTGCACTCGGCCCCTGCCCTGAAGCTTCCAGTAGGCCCAGAGAGGTTGAGCCCCAGTTCAAACAAAACAGTCTTGGGCCTGTGGTGGCTGCCCGTGTCCAACTGCCCGCGCCCTGTGTTCAGTCCATGTTGCGAATCTGGCCCGGGGCCTGCCTCAGTTACATTCGAAAGAGGCAGCCTGGGCCTGGGCGCTCTCAACCAACAGGCGATGCGCAACTGCCTGAATTTACCCAGTTGCATGATGACCCCAAAATTAGGCCTGTAGGCCCTAGGTCGAGCCTACCTTCACTTAGGGCGGCCGACCGTACAAAAAATAGGGCCCAGTAGGGCAGATCGAGGCCTTGAGCCTCGCATTCCCTCCTCCATACTTCGCTAGTCCTCTGAGAAGTCCATTCAATCTGACCCTTTCCTTTTTGCAGCAACTTCTCATAGTGGGTGGCAACCTGCGGTGCAGTCTGCATCAGTTCCTCCCGTGTGAACCATCTATCCTCTTTTGGATCAGTGTGATGTCTGAACCGAACTCGGTACTGCAGCTTCGGTTTCGGAGGACGTCCCCTGCCTGTCGGTCTTGGAACAGGCATTTCCTTGTGGTCCACAATGTCGTCGATGTCTACCTTTCCGTCCATGGTTGGGGGCAGCATTGAACGACAAGTGGGAAACTGATCAGTTTCTTCGAACCGTGCCAACTTAGAGGCGTGAAAACAGGGTAGGTACGAAGGTGTCCAGGGATCCGAATAACATATGAGGGTCCGTCTGATTCATTCCCAACTACATCCAGAACCTGCCTTGGTCCAAAATATTGTTGCATGAGCTTACGGGAGATCCCGTGCTCCTTTCCCAGTTCAGAAACCTTGACCCAGACTCTGTCCCCTGCCTGAAACGTAGATGGGCGGCGGGTGTTTGTTCTCAGATTCGATCATCGCCGCCTGTGCTCTGTGCACGTGTTCTACACCCTTCTGCATATGTTTCTCATATCTATAAGGCTATAAGCAAATTCCAAAGTTTATGGAGCAGCAGTGGGCTGATTGTTAGGTAGCAGAAAGTCAAGAGGGAGTCTAGGTTTGAACGTTAGTAGTAGGCTGTTAGGACTTACTCCCGTAGCACTATGAACTGCGTTGTTGTACAGGTTGGTAATAAGAGCGACCTTCTCATTCCAGCCCACTTGATTAGGCTTAATGTACAGGGTTGTCACCCGGGGACCCCCGGGGGCAAAGCCGGGGCCCGGATTTCACCCCCGGACCCCCTCCTGCGGGGGCGCCGACCCCCGGACCCCGCAATCAACCCCCGCGCCCGCCCGACCCCCGGC